AGACTTTCGGGTACCCGAAACCGCAAAACCGTGGGTGAAATTTGAGAACCAAAACCGAAAACCGCAGAACCAAAAACCGCGGATATCCGAACCGAAACCGAACCGCTGCCATCCTTATTTGGCAGTGAAATTTTATAGTATACAACCCAAGAGCACTTGGATGAGATGGTTTGGGTCTCTTCCAGCTTAACCAGTGGTCTCGTGTTCGAGCCTTGGGAATGCAGCAGTGTTAAAGCTCTTGAGGGAGAGCTTTGCCGCCCTTGTGGTCCTACCCGGCTCGATTCCGGATTAGTCGGTTCCCTTGTGGATCCGGAAATCGGAAGGTTCCTATACCCAAAAAAAAAAATTTATAGTATACATGCTCTAATTTTATTCAGTCAAATGACTTTCAGTGCAAGCGAGTGAAATTTCTTGGAGTACTCGCTGAATTTAAGACCAGGGATATATCAACATGGTTAGCTGCGATTTGAATCAACTAAATACTAATTTCATGTACACAAATTATTATATAATGCATCCTAATCATTTGTAACAAAAATCCATACTTATATTATTTTATAAAAAAAATGCTCGGATTAAATATTTTTAATGGTATAATTGTAATAGTAGTTATGTTATCCAATCACTACAAAAAAAACTCTTACATTCCAACGGAAATATTCCGTTGGAATTCTTTATATATTCCGTTGGAATAGCTATTCCAACGGATATTTCTACGTATAAAAATTCGTGGAAAAAATGGTGTTGGAATAGCTAAAATCCAACGGAAAATCCTACGAAAATAAATTCCTACAGCTATTCCAACGGAAAAAATCCGTTGGAATTCCTCAACCATCCAACACTTATTCCAACATAAAATTAAGTTTGTTGGAATATTCATTGGAATTTCCAACCGAAATTTTTGCCGTTGGAATTTTTCTTTGAAATTGAAATGTTTTCTTGTAGTGAATGTATTAGGACTTTATTTTTATTTTTATTTTTTTTTTTTGATACAAAAGAAGAAAGGCAAAGCCTAAGAGCTTGAGTTACATACGTTCCGCGAGTAAAAAGCATCGATAAGGTTGTGTTTTAACCACGGTCGAACACCATCTGGTGGGACGATAAAGAAATGGTACCCCAAAGATCCTTCCGCTGCGAAGGAAGGCAAATGGTCGGATGCGAAGTTCGCTTCGCGGAATACATGTTTTATCTTGATCATCCATTCGCGACCAAGGAGTTCTTTAATACCCATAATGAGCCCAATGTGCACCCCCTGAACCTCTTCTAGTGTCCTAGAGAAACACACGACATTCTCGTTATCCACTTCAGCTACAACTCGACGAAACCCCAAGTCCCATGCCAAGGAAAGACCTCGGAATAGTCCCCATAACTCCGCCGCCATGATCGAGCAGAACTCTATCTTCATTGAGAAGTTCTCTAACCAATGACCTTGCTTGTCGCGGATGAGACCACCCGCACAACCCACACCCGAAGCGGCATTAAAGGAGCCATCCGAGTTTACTCTCACCCATCCCGACGGAGGCATTTCCCATCGTATCCACCGGGGAACTCTCATGCAGCCAGTCACCCCAAGTTTTATATCCCCTTTTAATACCTTCATGAGACCCACGATATAACTATTTATCTCGATTGGTCCTTCAGACCCTTCTTTCCCTGGAGCCATGTTCGGCGGACCAAACCATGTCAGGACAATTCTCCCGAATATCATTATTATTTTTAGTACTAATATGCATTAGAAATATGAAAATCATCTCTTTTTAATTTCAGTAAATTTAACTACTAATTTACAATTTTGCAGGAATAATTTGAAGGAGCTGGTGCAAAATTTCGTATTCTAAAAGACATGTAAACCGTCATACATGTTAACTTTTGGACTGAAATATCACAATCTATAAAATAACATAAACATGATTTTTTATGACATAAATATATTTTTTATTAAAAAATAAAATATTAAAAATTAATCTATCTAACAGAGCGCCAAAATGTCTAAAAATGTTGAGTAATGGGATATAGTTGATCTTGGGCCTCTTACACGGGCTTGGTCAGGTAGCCTGATTGTATCATTTGCATCAAGCCAAACAAACAGAGGATAAGTTTATATAGAATAGTATTTTAACTCAGAAAATTGGATTCCCGAGGTTTGTTAATTCTACAAAAAAATCTTTCTGTATACAGTAGTTTTTTATTAAAGGAAAACAATTTGAAAAAGAGGTGTTGACTGGTCATGCACATAGTTTCAGGCAACAGCCAACAGTCAGGACCAAAAAGGGTCAGTGGGCCTGAGCCGTTGGCCCACTTCGGTCCATTTCAGATCCCAAAAACAGCTTGACATGTAATCATTTTCACCAAAACAAAATGTCATACGACGTCGCTTTTGTCCTCATCTCCCATTGGCTGGCATCATGGCATGTGGTGTATTTGTAAACTCAACAAGCATGCTCGAACTTAAACGACTAGTTAGACGGAAATAGTTTCGTCAATATTTGTTATCGTAAATTATGTACACAACATAATCTACATGTATATTCAATAATACAAAACACAAAATACTGACTGAAGCAGCTTGTAACGGAACCTTAACATTTTTCCTGACAATTTATATATGTTTTGGCGTTTTTGGCAATCAGGAGAGAATAGAATTTTGTAGCATTGATGACTTGTTAAAGGTAAAATGATATTTTGCTTTAATATATATATATATATATATATATATATATTAATTTTATGTTGAACTTAACCTCTTATAAATTCTTACACAAAAATGTATGTGTTAGCGGACCAATTTTGCTATGGAGTCATCGAATGGCTCGGTTTATGGAGCAATCCACACTTATCACCAATAGTGTATTGACATGTGTCCTACAATAAATATAATTTGGACATGTGTTAATATATTAAGTGATGGATGGCTCCATAAAAAAACCATCCAATGACTCTATAGAATTTTTGTACTTGTGTTTATGGTATTTTTTTTTTAGAGTATAACATTCAGTTCAAAATTATTAATATTTATTCAAAAAAAATATATATATGAATGTCTAACAGTTATATTTTTTTGCCTAACATCAGGTTCTTAAAAGTTCTCTTCACTTTTATAATTTACCAATTTGTTTGCTTCTTTGTGTTCTTTAATCTTTATTCCATAGGAAATGAAGCGAAATAAATTTTTAATAATAATAATAAACAAGATGAAAATATAGGAATTTGTTTGGGTTATATTGTTAACTAGTACAACACCCGTGTATTACACGGGTGCTTGCTAATTTTTTTTCTTAAAATCTAAAATTAATGAAAAAAAGTAGTTTGAAAATTTAAATACTTTTTATAAGAATATATATATTATTATATATTTATTATGACACTTTTTATTTGTGCAACTTACTTGTGTTATATTATACTAATTTTTTTTAACTTACAATATATAACTACATTACATATAAATATATCAATTGAGTAATAATTTTATTTTTTTAATGAATTTTAATAAATATTATTATTTTTTATTATTATAAAAATAAATATAATTTATTTATTTCATATATACAATATGGATATCAAATCGAAGATCATCAAAAGATGATTAATTTAATATATTATATATGTAAAATCGATAAGAAATACAGAAGTTATCAACTTTTAAAATATATTTATAATTCAATTGCTTATCGAATGAAACAAATCAAAATTCAAGGATATATTAGTCACTTAGTGCCTCACTATGTAAAATTACAAAGAATTAAAGGGTTATATTAGTAAAAGTGATATTAACATACCTAAGTTAGCTAAATAATATTTATGGAATACCCGAACCTAGATTATTAGTTATTAATAAATTAATATTATTTGTCCAAACCTAATTACGAAGCATGATTATTCGCCAAATAGGATTCCGAAGCACCAGAAGCAGCCACGTAGGCTCAGCGCATTCTGAAATTATATATAGGGAGGATTTTAGCTTAAAATGCTAAAACAACATTTGAATTTTATCCAATTTCATTGTACTTGCTACACAAGCTTATAGAGTGCAAAAATTAAAGGAGCAGAGGGTGGTAAACGTGACAATCAGGGGCATGTAAAAAAAAAAAAAATATTTAGGCAAAATTGCAATTTTAGTTGGTTTGATCCAGTAGCGTTTTTAGTCATAAGAATTGAATATTTTTGCTATTGGTCCTATGATTTTAAAATTCAGCGTAATTCCAGTCATTTAGGACTGAAAATGCAACAAAATTTAAAATTACAGGACTTAAATTGCTAATAAAAAACCTTTCGGACAGATTTTTGATTAGCAATTTAAGTCCTGTAATTTTAAATTTTGTTGCAATTCCAATCTCAAATGACTGAAATTGCAACAAAATACTAAATTACAAGATCAAAAGACAAAAAAAAGTTAAAATTTAGAGCCTAAAAATGCTACGACTTTAAACCAACAGGACTAAAAATATAATTTTACCTATTTTTTATTTATTACAAATATATAGATAAAAAAATACATATTAACTTGGCATAGGAATTATTCCAAACAAAAAAAAAAAAAAAAACTACAATATCCTTGATAATAATAGTAAAATAAATAAAAAAATGTACTGTATTCCATCATTTTTTCATTCACCAAAAACTCTGATTTTTTCATTCCCAACACATAATTATCTTCTTTTTTTTTTTTTTACCCCCCTTCGTTCTTTGTCTTATCCCATCATCATCATCATCTTATGCTTTTCTTATCTATAATATTGTTTGATGACTCTAATTATTGAGAGGTGCAAAGCCACTGCCCTTTTCATCCTCATTTCTCAACTCTTCATTTTTCCTTCTCTCCTTTTTTGTGCTTACATATTTCTTTTTTTTTTTTTAATTATTATTATTATTATTATTATTATTATTATTACTATTATTATTTATATCCTTTTTAGGCCATATTTGAATAATAATAAATCCCAATTTCCATGAATTTTTTTCCAAAGAACCACTGCCCCTCTCTCTCTCTCTACAGTTGATGTTCACTGCAGTTTCCTCCTTTTAGGCTGTGGAGTAGTACTAGTGTGTGAAGGCTCAACTGTTGTGCAGCAGCTCAAACATGCTGCCTCCAAAACCCCATTTGGACTATGAGCCTCTAGTGATAATGATGATGATAAAATTGAGCCAAACTTAGACAAATTTCTATTATCACCCTTAATCATTCCACTAATTGTACCCAAATTCTTGATCAATTCAACACACTTCTCAACTCTGCCCTGTTTCCACAAGAAAAATAAAAATATTGTTAGAATATTTCTAACAATTTGCATATTATCAAATGGAATAAATAAATGGGAGATTCTACGGTCCTGTTATGGAATCATTCACGTCGGAGTTTGTAACCGTTAAATCAACTATCCACGAGGATTATATGATGATCTAATGGATACAAATCACGACGGAATGGTTCCCTAACGGGTTGTAGCATTTCTCCAAATTAATATGGGTGTTAACAATTATATTGGAAAAAAAAAAAGGTGGGGCATAGGTAAGTATCTATATACCTTATCAGTTCCTACTAAGCCACATAATGACTTATCAATGTCCTTTGATTGTACTTCTTCTTCTTCTAAAATAAACACAGCAACAGCTGCACCTATTTCAGATGGCCGGAATTTCAAGAATTCAATATCTGCATTCAATTCCCAACCAAGAAAAAATAAAAAAAAATAAAAAAAAAAAACAATCGAAATTACTGAAGATGAAATAGTGAGTTAGATTTCATAAAATGCGTATTTGAGACCTTGGATTGTGCTTATGATGACATCAAGAGACCAATTAATCGTCCGCCACGACGGGCTTTCGCCGTTGTTCATCTTTCTCAGATAAAAGTCGACGAAATTGCAAGGCGTATAAGCTTTGATCTTCCAATCGAGACGGTTCAGAATCAAGAATTCCATCCTTTGTATCGTTTTTCCTTCGAACAAGAATTTCGGTTCCCCTGCCTGTTTCATTAGTAGATATATTTAATAGAACGAAAAAAAGGGCCAATGTGATTGATTGATAAAAACAAAAAAAACATTTTAAATTTGATTAATTTGATTATATATACCTGAAAGGCCACAGTAGTTGGAACATTAACCTCCTCAAGTTTTGCTGCCAGTGATAAACAGGCCACAGAGATCAACTGAGTTACCCATTTTTTATCTCCCTATATAAAAAAAGGTAAGAAAAAACATTTCTGCATTCAAACACAACGGTACAAAATGACCATTCAAAAGAAAGGATCAGCAGAAGAGTGTCTATTTACCCCTCCCAGTGAACATATGGGGAATTCATAAACCGATAGAAATCGGTCGAAACAACTCATCGCAGTGTACAGGCACGTCTCGCCATAGTTATGGTGGGCGCAAGCCTGTAAAAGCATTGAAAATCGGTTAAGTTTGAGTCATAAGCACGGTTGTAAAAATCGAACTAGACCAAATTTTATGGTGCATTTTCAATAGTATACATTTCACCTTAATTGCCCAGAAGTTATTCACTTTAGGACGTTTTAGGAAGATGTATAAAGAATACAGCCTACAGGTAATCTAATGAACATTTGATTCAAAAAAGAACAACATAAAAAAAGACCTTTTTTAGGAGATAAATTATTAATGAAGGGAAAATCATCCCATTGAATTGAGGGAAAAAAAATGAAAGTTGACTAGAAAGCCAAAAAAAATGGAAATGAAGAACTTTTACCAAAACTGGCATCACATTACTGAAAATGCTAAGGTCCCGTTACGAAACCATTTTGTAAGGATTTGTAACCGTTAAATCATCATGTAATCGTCAAATATAGTTGATCTAACATTTATAAACCCCGACGGAATGGTTTCGTAACAAAAACGTAGCATCTCACTTCAAAAAAAAGGAAGACAAAAATGCCACAAAACAAAGGAACCCATTTAGTGCAAAACAAAATAAAAATGAAACCTTTAACATCCAATGAAGAGCCCATTTTCTGAAGCTAACATCCAAATCACCAGTCTTGAGTCTCTGCAAATAATCATCCCTGGGCAAGTGCTCCCTCTCTCTCTCAGCCATCCACCATATGCACTGCTCACTCAGGCATGGCAGATTAATTAGAGACAACTCCGAATCTCCACCGTTGGATCGACGGCTCTGATCGTTGAAAGGCTGGGCTAATCGGACAAGATCATCGTCGTCATCGTCCAAGAAAAAGCCTTTGGTTTCTTCATCACAGAGAAGGTCCGATGCCGAGCAGTCAAAGCTGTTGTTGTTGTAATCAGCCATTGGGAAAGAAAGAAAGAAAGAAAAAGGTCCCCCCTCAATGTGCTTTGCTCTCAAGATGTCAAAATCTCATAAAGATGGGATTTTTATGGGCTTTTTTTTATATATTTATTTTAGCATGATAAAAATATAGGCATTGTGTATCTGCCTATCTGCTAGTTGTCCCAGAGAGAGAAGGCAGTGAAAGTGAGGAAATTGGGACTTGGGCTTTAATTTTTTTTGTGTGGAGAGAGAGAGAGAGAGAGAGA